AGCACAAGAGCCCAGACTCCACCTCTCCAACAGGCGGCTCCAGGACTTGCTTTGTTTGGACAATCCAGAGAGGAGGTGTGGTATCTGAGTGATCATGTTGAACAAAGGTTCAATATGATCAAAGGAGGGGGTTGTGGGGAAATATGCGCTAGGGCTATTGATTCAGGTATACTATATATTCAGGAGATGCAAAAGTTACTCTCATCAGAAAAGAGGACTTTGGACCACTGAGCCATAGGACCAGGACTGGTTTTCTTTAGCCCAGGTAAGACGCTTCTGACGTTGTTTGTTGTTCAGGAGTGGCTTGACAAGAGAATACGACATTTGAAGCCCATGTCCAGGATCCGTCTGTGTGTGGTGCCTCTTGATGCACTGACTTCAGTCCACTTCTTGTGAAAGTCCCCAACACTTTTGAATGGCCTTTTCCTGACAATCGTCTCCAGGCTGCGGTCATCCCTGCTGCTTGTGCACCTTTTTCTTTCCACACTTTTCCCTTCCACATAACTCTCTATTAATGTGCTTTGATACAGCACTTTGGGAACATCCAACTTCTTTTGCAATTACCTTTTGAGGCTTTCCCTCCTTATGGAGGGTGTCAGTGATGGTTTTCTGTAACAACTGTCAGGTCAGCAGTCTTTCCCATGATTGTGATTCCTACTGAACCAGACTGAGAGACCATTTAAAGGCTCAGGAATTAACTTTTGCACGATATTCTAATTTTTCAAGTTTCACCTGTATATATATATATATATATATATATATATATAATATATGTGAATATCTACAATATCTGTTGATGTCCAATTGCATTGGATATAACAGTTACAGAAAATGTGCATAAACCCTTAGAAAATTCCAGAAGAGACAATATATACTTATTACTACATCAAAATCATTGCAGTAAATTATTGAGCACAAAATGCGTATGTGTTGTCTTATGAGAATAAATTATATTCTTTTTATAACATTATACCTTCTAGTTTTAAAGGGATTGTAAAGTTGTTGTTTTTTTCACTCTCAAGCCCTGCACTGTGTGTCAGAACAGGGCTTGGTCCCATCCCTGCTTCTCGCCATTGCCTCTGAGTGACAGCAGTGGGAGCCAATGGCTTCCTGCTGCTGTATCTGAGCCAATGAGTAGAGAGACAGCCGAGAAAGCATCGACTCTCATGCATTGAATTGAAATCGGGCTTAGGTGTATATTTGAGGAGGGGGGGGAGGGCTGCGAGGAAAGCTGCAGGCAGAAGGTTTTTTACCTTACTGCATAAATTGAAGTAAGGTGAAAAACCTTCTGCCTTTCCAACCACTTTAAAGCGGAAGTTTTATAGAGGGGAAGCTCCGTTTTAAGGCTTTGTCCCCTGCTCCCCATTAAGGATTGGCACCTTTGGGGAGCAGGGGGATAAGAGGTACCTGAATTTGACAAGTACCCGCTCCAACTTCTGATGTGATTCACTAGACAGTTGGAAGTGGAGGTTGTCTTCCCCCCTCCCTCGCGACAGGTGACCTCCCCCCGTCCGTTGTTACAGGTCCCAGAAGACTACGGGACCATTCAAAAGGCTTAGCTCTACTCGAGCATGCAAAGTGGGCACCCGGCTGTGAAGCTGCAAGCTGTCACAGCTGGGTGCCCACACTAAAGATGCCGGCACCGAGGAGACAGGACGGTCAGTCAACCCAGCTGCTGTGAGGACACCACGGGACAGGTGAGTGTCCATATTTTAAAAGTCAGCAGCTACAGTTTTTTTAGCTGCTGACTTTTATTTTTTCTTAATTCCAACTGGACCTCAGCTTTAAAGAGTAAATCTTTCCCATTATATTTGGTATCATGTTTCACTGTAAACAGTTTTCTTAACCAAGTATTTTTTTGTGACTCTCCTGCAAAGTTTCTGACCTGGATATCCTGCCAGCAGCAGCAATTCCAAAGACAGGCTGACAATCACATTAGTCAGGAGCATTGTCAGTCTTCCATGTCCACTTGTTCTGTTGGCTGTTGGACTGCCATTCTGATACATCTTATTGGCAGCCAAACAGACAACCTGATAATTACGAAGAAGAGGCTTAAAATAGCCTGCAGCCAGAAGTGTTGTTACTTGCAGGATCTCCAGGTATGTAACTTTGCATTAGATTAACAAAAAACACTGGTCAGGTGCAATGCTTTGGTCAATCACAGGACATGATGATGTCACAAGGGGGTGGGGGCGACCCTGACCCCTGTTGAGTGGAATGGTGAACTTCAGTGCGGCGAACTGAGCCAGAAGTGTCAAAACCAGGCACCCGCTCCCCCCCCCAAAAGCTGCCAAATGTGGAAGCGGAGGGGAGGAGGAGGCAAATACACAGAGCTTCCACTTTTGGGTTGAACTCCACTTCAAATGGAGTATTATTTAAATGACATCCAACAAAAAGAGGTGACACTCCCTCATCCTCTAAAGCAGATATAAACCCTTCTATCTTTTTTGTAGTCAAGGAATCTGCTATCTTAGCATCTGTTTGATCTTCAACTGCTATTATGCTGCCATGATGTGATCAGTTATGACACGAGCCATTTGATGGTTTGACAGTTTGGTTGAGAGCACCAGCAAATATGACAGTTCATTTTCATACATGTGCTGGGAATGTAACAGTTAGTTTAGACTTTGAAATTGATGGTTGTAGTTTCTCTTTATAATAAATGGTAATAAAATGCTGCACTTCACTTCCAATGATGTGCTATATATATATATATATAATAATGTGCTAATATATATATATATATATAAATATTCCAAATTGTACTGTTCATCATATATGTAGATTTTCATCTCTTTCTCATGTCCTGTTATAGCATCACCATCCAGTGCTCGTAATTATCTTAGCAATGGGATCACCCTCCATCAGATGTGCTCTCACCTGGTATAATGTGACCTTACAATCAAGTATGGTCAATAAACGCCTGTGTCCCTCGGGGACCAAATGGGATATGCCCAGCAAGTAGGTTCCACCAATGTTTCTCCTTCACCACTCCACTTCTCCAGATCTTGAATTCTCATGCCATGTTTAAACCAACCATACATATGGGGAGAAAAACATAGTGCTTATATTGTTTAAAACACTCTCCTTTGTTTTCAAATTCTCCAGAATTACTCTCACTTGAAAAAGGTGCTTGAAGCGCACCGAACAGATCCAGCATGTACAATATTAAAAACCACCAGTTGTAGGTATCGGCAATACAGTCATGTATAGTCACCACTCTTGATCGTGTACAGAGTGTTGGGATGTCTTGTGCCCCTCCCCTATGTGTTACGCCATAGGGTCACATGGCTTCCTCAGGGAGATTCTTCTGAGGAAGCCACATATATATTGTACATGCTGGATATGTTTGGTGGGCTTCAAGCACCTTTCTAAAGTGAGTGTAATTCTGGAGAATTGGGGAATAAAGGAGAGTCTTTTAAACAAAATAAGCACTATGTTTTGGTGATTTATTTTCGCTCTATATGTATGGCTGGTTTAAACATGGCATGAGAATACAAGATCTGGGGAACCTGTGGAGAAGTGGAGTGGTGTATAAGGAGAAACATTGGTGAAATTGTCAAGGTCCTACCTTTCCTCAGGGCTTGTGCTGCTCCATGTGCTGGCATCCATCTTAGGTGTCTGCAAAGCATTGTGGGATCCTTTATGCTTTCAGCCCTCTGCGGCTCCTCCCCCAGGAGGTGGTGGCTTATCAAATATAAGTCTGCTGTTTGTAGGTGTCCATTGCATTCGTGTCCTGTCTCTTGCACAGCAGCAAGCTCCTGTTTAGCTACTCATTGCTTTCCTGGATACCGACTCGGCTTTGTCTAAGACTCCTCCTGGCTTCTGACCCCGGCTCTGGTGATGATTCTTCCTGGCTCCTGATCCCAGCTCTGGCGACAATTCTTCCTGGCTCTTGATCCCGGCTTTGGCTACGTTTTCCGCTGTTGGACTTGCATAGACTCTTGTCTTATTTTTATATTAATAAACCTACCTTTAATTGCACCTCCTTGTGTGTCTGGCTCCTCGCTTCCTGACAGAAATCTACTTGCTGGGCATATCCCATTTGGTCCTTGAGGGACACGGGCATTTATCGACCATACTTGATTGTAAGGTCACATTATACCAGGTGAGAGCACATCTGGAGGAGGGTGATCACATTGCTAAGATGATTACGAGACTGAATGGTGATGCTATGACAGAACATCAGAAAGAGTTGAAAATCTACATATGTGATGGACTGTGCAATTTAGACTACCGTATTTTCTGGCGTATAAGACGACTGGGCATATAAGATGACCCCCTACTTTTCCTGTTAAAATGTAGTGTTTGGGCTATACTCGCCGTATAAGACTACCCCTCTTCCAATGCACACCAGTGGGAAGAATCATGCCCCATCATTGGTGTCAGTGGGAGGAATAGTGTCCCATCATTGGTATTAGTGGGAGGAATAGTGCCCCATCATTGGTATTAGTGGGAGGAATCGTGCCCCATCATTGGTGTCAGAGCGAAAAATCGTACCCCATCATTGGTGTCAGTGGGAGGAATAGCACCCCATCATTGGTGTCAGTGGGAGGAATAGTGCCCCATCATTGGTATCAGTGGCAGGAATAGTGCCCCATCATTAGTATCAGTGGGGGGAATAGTGCCCCATCTTTGGTGTCAGTGGGAGGAATCGTGCCCCATCATTGGTGTCAGTGGGAGGAATAGTGTCCCATTATTGGTGTCAGTGGGAGGAATAGTGCCCCATCATTGGTGTCAGTGGGAGGAATAGTGTCCCAACATTGGTGTCAGTGGGAGGAATAGTGTCCCAACATTGGTGTCAGTGGGAGGAATAGTATCCCATCATTGGTGTCAGTGGGGGGTGGAGGAATAGTGCCCCATCATTGGTGTCAGTGGGGGGGGAGGAATAGTGCCCCATCATTGGTGTCAGTGGGGGGGGAGGAATAGTGCCCCATTGTTGGTGTCAGTGGGGAGGAGGAAAAGTGCCCCATCGTTGGTGTCAGTGGGAGGAATAATGCCCCATCATTGGTATCATGGGGCACTATTCCTCCCACTGACACCAATGACACTTGCTGACCTCTGTTCCAGTATGGTGCTGCTGCAGCCAGCATATGTGGTTGCAGCAGCACCTCTGTACAGCACACTTACCGGCCGCTCCTTCACTCGATTTTCGTGGGGGCCGCTCGGCTCCGCCTCCTCGCCGGTGATTGGCTGCCTGTGTGCCTGGCAGCCAATCACCGGTGAGGAGGTGGAGCCAAGCAGCCCGCGCGAACATCCAGTAGCCGAACCGAATGAAGGAGCAGCCGCGCTTCCTGAACCGGATCGTCGTGGGACCGGAGCCAGGTAAGAAACAGCAGCCCCTGCCCACCCCTGTACTTAGTGTCCCTTGGAAGGGGGGGTGGTGGCACCGCGCCGCCCCCCTAAAAAGTGTCAGCATGCCAAACGACCCCCAACTTTTGAGAAGATTTTCAAGGGGTAAAAAGTCATCTTATACGCCGGAAAATACGGTATTAATATACTGTATATTAGCACATTGGGAATATAGTGTTTATGTTTTAGCGTGTGAAGCGCGGCACTTTATTATCATTTTATTAGCAGTGTACACACAGATATATGGGAGTGTCTTTGGTGCAAACAGCTCATCAATAGGATGTATATACATAGCAGCTCAAAAGGTTATACACATACTGTTTAGTTCCTTTTAGTATATCAACGAACAAAAATAATGTCTATAGAATAACCTAATTTATTTAACTGTTTTTCTTTAGTACACAAACACAATGTTGTTTTATGTTTTATTATTATTATTATTATTATTATTATTATTATTATTATTACAGTGTTTATATAGCACCAAAGGGTTTGCTCAGCGCTGTACATTAGCGAGGAGGACAGAACATGATACAATACAGTACAATACAATACACGAGGGGTTCTAGGGCTGTGCTCTTTCGAGCTTACAATCTAGGAGGGAGGGGATAGTGGTACAGGAGGAAGTGGCTGTGGGGGATGGAGTGGTAGGAGGAGTGGAGGAGATCGGTTGTTAGGTGAGGGTGGGGTAGGCTTCCCTGAAGAGATGGGTTTTCAGGGTGTGCCTGAAGGTGAGGAGGGTAGGTGACAGTCTGATGGATTGGGGTAGGGAGTTCCAGAGGATGGGGGAAGTCCTGGAGAAGTCTTGCAGTAGGACGTGGGAGGAGGAGACCAGGGAGCTAGAGAGTAGGAGGTCTTGTGAGGAGCGAAGGGCACGGGTAGGGTGGTATTTGGGTATCAGGTCAGTGAGGTAGTTTGGGGCAGCGTTGTGAATGGCTTTGTATGTCAGAGTTAGTCATTTGAATTTAATGTGTTGGGCAATCGGGAGCCAGTGAAGGAATTGGCAAACGGGGGTGGCAGATGTGGAGTGGTTGGTGAGGTGGATGAGTCTGGCCGATGAGTTCAGGATAGACTGGAGTGGGGATAGCATTTGTTTGGGTAGGCCAGTGAGAAGAGAGTTGCAGTAGTCCAGGCGTGAGATAATGAGGGAGTGTACGAGTTGTTTAGTAGTGTCTGGGGTGAGGAACGTACGTATCTTGGAGATGTTGCAGAGGTGGAGCCTGCATGACTTTGATAGTGATTGGACATGAGATTGGAAGGAAAGGTTTGAGTCCAGGGTGACACCCAGGACTTTGGCATTGCTAGTCGTGATGGAGAGGATGAGGGGGGGAGCGGGCTGGGGAGAAAACTAGGAGCTCGGATTTGGACAGGTTTAACTTGAGGAAATGGAGCGACATCCAGTCTGATATGTCGTTCAGGAGGTGGGCGATACGGGCGGAGAGTGAGGGGGTGCGGTGAGGGGTGGAGAGGTAAATTTGTGTGTCGTCGGCATAGAGGTGATAGTTGAAGCCATGGGAGTGTATCAGTTTGCCATGTTTTAAATATTTATTGTTTTAGATTCTGTATTATTATGTAGCCTGGTTTGTTATGAAATTGTCAGTATGTATATTCATTTTCTTTGCTTCAGGTGCTCATTGTAAATTTTAACTAGTGAAAGAAGAATTTATGAAAAATGTCATACATGGTTGGCCCCCAAAATATCATTGGATTTTATTGGTAATATTTAATGTTCTGTTCTTTACATTTTGCTTGAAATTCAGCTATTATAATTGTATGAGCTGTTAAAAATATTCTAGGAAAAACTGTCAATCAAATACCTAGTACAGAAACTAATAGAGGGTTTCTGCTGTCAAGCTTCGTGTTGCTGTTAGCAGTTTTAATGTTACATTTACTTTGAAGTAATTCAAAAATTCAAGATATGATATACTTGAGCTCTCAAATATTTCCAATAATGATCTATAGGTTTATAAAAGATAATAGAAGGTATGTATAATTAACATGTTGCTGGAAGTGTCCTGTGATAGACTCCTTGTTTCTGTAGATGACTAAGTGTTAGGCTCTATTAAAAGCAAGATACTCTATCACAACTATTACAAAATAAATAGGCTCTAGGTTCTGCCTCCAGCAGGGAAAATCAGTGTTGTCCTGCCTGCAGTATTAAATTTGACAACTAAATGGAGCCAAGAATAAATGTAATACAGAAACTAGAGATTGTTTAGCCTAATAAAAAACTCTTTCACTCTAAGAAAAGGTGAATTCAGACTCCATCTTAGAAACTGAGAGAGAAGGAACCAGCCATAATTCTCTGCAATGCATATCATGGATTGAACTTATATCCCTTACAGGCAGTATCGCTGGTGAGCATGCACTTATTGTCATCTACAACAAATAGTCTCATTGTGTCTGAATGTCTCTAATATTGATTATATGTACTTATTATCTGTTTTTTAATATAATAATTTCACCCACCCTGTTTTGTTATTAAAGATTGAAGAATACATTCAGTCTGGCTTGTTGCAGAATAGGAGGGTTTAGCTGCATGTCGAGTTACATACAGGGAAACACATAGTGAGGACAGAACACTCTATTAAAAGCAAGATACTGTATCACAACCACCACAAAATGAATGGAGAGGTAAGCTGACCATACATGTGGTAACTTTCCATCAATATCAGCCTGTTTTGATCCAGCTAAAAGTGAAATCCTGAGTTACCGAAATCACCTTGATCATACCTAGTGAGAAAATTAAATTGCTTTTGATGAAATTACCATACTTATTTTCTGATTTTGGTTTTTTTTTTTCAATAACCTGTATTAAGGCTGCCAATTTATGGCCCAGTTTGGTTAATTGAATTTAGGTGGGTGACTGAACTTGTGAGTGGTAGATCGCTTGATTTCAGGGAACTGTTATCGTCTATTAATAGGAGGATGAATGACGGATGATGAGTGTATATTTATAAATGTACTTTTTCCAGCAGCAACTAGTCCAACAGTTCTTTTCCAGAGAGATGCATTTATTGGGCCCAGAAACAATTCATGAAACAGAAATACAGACAAGGCAGATGACAGGATACTTAGAGTATTCATGCAATCAACAGAAACCTTCAAAAGACCCACTTTCACCTGTCACAACTTAACCAAAAGAACATTCCCTAATATATACATTCTCCCAATTAAATGGAATGACAAGCACTCTGATTGGCCACTTTTAGTAGCCCCTTTGATCTTCTGGGTGACGAGTAATGCCTTTGGGGCTTGGACAGATGCAGTCATAAATTCTAATAAAAGTTGTCTAGATATTTCCTAAACTGAATTCTTTTACCATTAATTAGATAAACAAGAATGCTATTTACCATACTTAATACCCCTTTTCATGCTATTAGATAGTAGATAGTAGTCCTTTCAAGTCTGACTGAGCAGTCTGCATTTTATCACCCTTGCAAGTTTGCAAATTACCGTATTTTCCAGCGTATAAGACGACTGGGCGTATAAGACGACCCCCTACTTTTCCTGGTAAAATATAGGGTTTGAGCTATACTCGCCGTATAAGACTACCCCTCTTCCAACGCACACCAAATAAAAATGAAAAAACATCAGATTTGATTTCAATATGGTATGGTATTTCAGTATGGTATTCCAATGATGGGGTGCTATTCCTCCCACTGACACCAATGATGGGGCATGATTCCTCCCACTGATACCAATGATGAGGCACTACTCCTCCCACTGACACTAATGGTGCCCCATCAGTAGTGTCAGTGTGTGAGGAATAGTGTCCCATCATTAGTGTCAGTGGGAGGAATAGTGCCCCATCATTGGTGTCAGTGGATGAAATAGTGCCCCATCATTAGTGTCAGTGGGAGGAATAGTGCCTCATCATTTGTACCAGTGGGAGGAATCATGCCCCATCATTGGTGTCAGTGGGAGGAATAGCACCCCATCATTGGTATCAGTGGGAGGAATAGTGCCCCATCATTAGTCAGTGAGAGGAATAGTGCCCCATCGTTGGTGTCAGTGGGGGAGGAATAGTGTCCCATCATTGGTGTCAGTGGAAGGAATAGTGCCCCATCATTGGTGTCAGTAGGAGGAATAGTGTCCCATCATTAGTGTCAGTGGGAGGAATAGTGGCCCATCATTGGTGTCAGTGGATGAAATAGTGCCCCATCATTAGTGTCAGTGGGAGGAATAGTGCCTCATCATTTGTATCAGTGGGAGGAATCATGCCCCATCATTGGTGTCAGTGGGAGGAATAGTGCCCCATCATTGGTGTCAGTGGGAGGAATAGTGTCCCATCATTGGTGTCAGTGGGAGGAATAGTGCCCCATCATTGGTGTCAGTGGGAGGAATAGTGTCCCATCATTGGTGTCAGTGGGAGGAATAGCACCCCATCATTGGTATCAGTGGGAGGAATAGTGCCCCATCATTAGTCAGTGGGAGGAATAGTGCCCCATCGTTGGTGTCAGTGGGGGAGGAATAGTGCCCCATCATTGGTGTCAGTGGGGGAGGAATAGTGCCCCATCATTGGTGTCAGTGGGGAGAATAGTGCCCCATCATTGGTGTCAGTGGGGAGGAGGAATAGTGCCCCATCATTGGTGTCAGTGTGGAAGAGGAATAGTGCCCCATCGTTAGTGTCAGTGGGGGAGAGGAGCGGCTGCTCCTTCTTTCAGTTCGGCAGCTTGATTTTCGTGGGGCCGTTCGGCTCCACCTCCTCGCCGGTGATTGGTCGCCTGTGTGCGCTGGCGCCCAATCACCGGTAAGGAGGCGGAGCCGAGCGGCCGCGCAACCATCGAGCGGCCGAACTGAAAGAAGGAGCAGCCGCGCTTCCTGGACTTGATCATCGTGGGACCGGAGCCAGGTAAGGTACAGCAGCCCCTCTGCCCACCCCTGTACTTAGTGTCCGTTGGAGGACACCGCCCCTGGAAAAAGTGCCGCTCTGACACACCGGCTCACCGTATACCGGCGTATAAGATGACCCCCGACTTTTCAGAAGATTTTCAGGGGTTGAAAAGTCGTCTTATACACCGGCAAATATGGTACCTCCTTTGAAATGTAACAAGTTGGCCCCCAAGTGCCAAGGTGATATTGCATAAAATTAACATAGCAAAGAGCCCTTGGCCATGCTTTTGCTGTGTAAAATGTATCTAGTTCTATGCTGGCCTGCTCAATGAAGTGAGAATACACCACATACAGTATATATATATATATATATATATATACATACAGGTGAAACTCAAAAAATTAGAATATCATGCAAAAGTTCATTTATTTCAGTAATGCAACTTAAAAGGTGAAACTAATATATGAGATAGACTCATTACATGCAAAGCAAGATAGTTCAAGCCGTGATTTGTCATAATTGTGATGATTATGGCTTACAGCTCATTAAAACCCCAAATCCACAATCTCAGAAAATGAGAATATTGTGAAAAGGTGCAATATTCTAGGCTCAAAGTGTCCCACTCTAATCAGCTAATTAAGCCATAACACCTGCAAAGGGTTCCTGAGCCTTTAAATGGTCTCTCAGTCTGGTTCAGTAGGAATCACAATCATGGGAAAGACTGCTGACCTGACAGTTGTGCAGAAAAACCATCACTGACACCCTCCATAAGGAGGGAAAGATTCAAAAGGTAATTGCAAAAGAAGTTGGACATTATTTTATTTGAAAAAAAAAACTTGTAACCAGCAACAATTTTTATACAAAAATATCAAAAGAATAAATAACGTAAACATCCTACTTGGTAACAAACAAAGGAAAAAAAAACTGATTACCCTCCTATAATAATACCCATAACAGACAAAGAAAAACCTGATCATTAGGACCAGGACATATAATTTTTACCTACTTAAGGATCTTGTCTTTATAAACCTCCATTTTTACAGGAAAAAGTAAACAAGACAACAAAGGACGGCTTTAACAGCCTACCTATTATCTTTCTATACATGCTTTCCACAGCTTTTAGCCCTTTACAGGGGAAGACACACTTGTTTCACACGTACCGGCCTTTCTGGCCTATCAACCTATACCCACAACTTACCCCTTACCAGGGGAAGCCTTATACATTATAAATTAGCCTCTACGGCTTTTAGAAAACATAACAAAAAACCTAATACATTACCCAACGAAGTTTAAGAAACCTAGACCATCAGGTATGTGTAGCCATCTTTCAAAAAGTAACCTACAGACAAAAATCTAGGGGGGGTGAAAAAGGAGAAAACACAGGACAGCAACCTCACCAAGAGATCAACAGACTGCCGCTACAGGCCTGATAATCCTCCACACCTTTGTCCAGACCCTTCGCCGCAGCCTGTCTTTCTCAAGACCCCGAATTTTCCCAACCTCAACAAGGATGTCACGCACCATCACCTGGACAGGAAGGACCTTCTGCTACAAGGAGTCCTGACACCATGCATTCCACGTGTAATAAATGGACAACTAGACAAACTAGAAAAAGTGTATTTAAATAATACCCAGTATGATTTTCTAATGCCCATATACCCACTGTGCATAAGACATGCAGTGCAGGAAGGGGATGTCTAGAGCCCTCCCCACCTCTTTGTACACCTCTACATTGAAGGGACACTGAAGCAAGAAGTGGTCCATACTTTCCACTTCACCCCCACACTCCGACCTCGGACAACCACGGTCATCCAGAGAACGGTGCTTCAAATTTCCCCTCATGTAGAGCCTGCCGTGGAACGCAAGCCAGGCCTGGTCCCTAAATTTTAAGGGAATCCTTTCCATATTTAATAAACGCAGACCCCCCTAAGATATGGCCCGGGCAATACGTCAAGGCCAGCGGTGCATGAAACGCAGAGGCCACAATCCCTCTCCCTTAGGAGCCTCCCAGGGAGCGACCTTACCTCCATCCGCAGTCACACACCACCCCTAAGAATCTTCAGACACGGGGCGACATAAGCCGGGAGCTTACCATGCTTGACCACCACTCTCCCAGCAGCCCAGAGAAGGTCTAAACCAAACTTGGAAAAGACTTAACCATGCAGGTGGGTTCTCTTTTAGCATACTACCAATATTGTGCTTTATAAACATCAAAGAGAAAAAAACAATCGGGTTGACCATACCTAGGCCACCCTCCCGCCTGGATCGGCAAGTCACATTCCGCTTCACAAGGTTCAGTCTGTTCCCCCATAACAGCTGGAAGAAACACTGTAAACTCTCATATAGAGAGACTCTGGCAAGACACAGACGAAACTGACGTACAAGAAAATGGGGACCAAGTAGGTTTTAATTAGGACGACCCTTTCCCTTAGGGACAACCGCCAACCCTTCCAGCATCTCACTTTGACATCGGCATCTGACAACCTGGATTCCCAATTTGTTTTACTGTAATCATCAGGTCCAAATTCAATGCCTAGCACTTTGATCTTCTGACGGGACTCTGGGAAGGCATCCGGGAGCTTGAAACCTCACCTTCCCTGCCCTTCCAGAAAACTTCACATTTGTCGTGTTTAATCTTGGAGCCTGATGCCTCCGCATACTGCTCCATCACCAAGACCACCTCCTGCGCCTCACTAGTCCCAGAGATGAAGACAGACACATCATCAGCATAGGCCACGACCCTCAGAGGTGACTCACCAGTAGTGCCCCCGACACCCCAGCCCAACACCCCACCATCTAGCCTCCTGACGAAGGGGTCGATGGCAAAGGCATAAAGCAAAGGGCTCAGTGGACACCCCTGGTGCACCCCGAGCCAACCCCAAAGGGTGCCTGCCCAACCCAACCATTGACCAACATGAAGCTCTCAGCCCCTTTATACAGTGTCTGCAGCCATCCAGTGAACCTCCCCTCCAGGCCATACCTGCCAAGGAGATGCCAGAGGTACTCGTGATCAACCCGGTCAAAAGCCTTAGCCTGATCCAACGCCAGCAAGTACTTCCCACAACCATCAGCCCTGCACCGCTCCAGAGCCTCCCGGACAGCTAACACCGCTGAAAAAGATGCTCCTGCCCTGGACCGAAGAGTGCTGCTGCTGCAAAAGTAGACTTGCTGCCAATGACGACAGGCGCCAGAAAAGAATCTTGGCCAGAATCTTTCTATCGACATTGAGCAGGCTAATGCTCAATCATCAAAGAGTCCTTATCTTTTACAGCAAAATCACGGCTGATTTCCTCATGGAGGGAGGAAGCAAACCCTCCTCTAAATAGCAATTAAAAACCTCCGCTAGGTGAGGTGCCAAGCGGGATTTAAAGCTCTTAAAAAATTCAGCTGTTAAACCGTCTGGCCCTGGCGTCTTTCTTAATGGCCAAACTATCTATCGCTTTGGCAAACCTCTTCAGCCGTGATCTTACCTGTCAAACTTGTAGGCGGAGTGTTATTTTCCAAACCTGGTGTAGAATCCAGGAAGCTTGACATCCCTGCCCAGTCAAGGTGCTTCTCTCTCAAAAGATTCTCAAAAAAAGCCCTTGAGACCTCCAGGATCCCCAACCTGGATTTCCTCAAGGAACCTGTACTATCTCTCAGACCACTGATCGTTTTAAACCGCTATGCTCTGTTTGCAGCTTCTTGTAAGGGTAGGGTGAGAGTGATATTTCCTGTAATCCCTCTCCAGAACCAAAGAGGCATGCCGATCATACTGATGCTTCTTTAAGAGCAGCTTAACCTCTGAGATTGCCCCAGAATCTCCACCCTCAGAGACAAGGCGGTCCAGCTTCTTCATAACTGCTGATAGGCAATATATCTCTCAAGTTGTTTTCTCTTACCTAGGGCCTTGAAAAACCTGCCGATCCACACTTTGTAAGCTCCACCACTCCGACTTACTAGCCAGAAAAATCCAGATGGTCTCACCTGAGCCGTGAACGAAATCCTCCAAAGGGATGTCTCACCTCTTGTAGCTCTAGCAGAGCCTAATTCATTCTCCAGACACCCCTTCCCCTCAGCGGCGTATCTGAGGCATTCAAAGTCACAGTTAATAA